CGGGGCTATAATACACATCAAGTGGCATGGAAATAATGCCCTGTAACACAAGCCTCACGATTGAGGAAGATACTCTTGAAAAACATAAGTTTGATAAAGATTAAATTACTTCCCCTTAGTTTGCTTTTGGATGTAAATGATGTGACCTTCAAGGACCGCATAAGCGTCCTAACGGCCCGGATTTAGTCACGACTTATTATTTTAAAACATAGGAAATTCAGCCTTCTAGACCTTTCCATCGTCAAACTAATCAGTACACATTCCTCTTCCTCATAGGTCCACAAATAGATCTGTTTTATCGAAGCATACAACTTTTTCAGATGTACTTGTGAGCATGTTTGTTCACTTTCACGGTTTAGCCTGCGTAGTCTGAAATACGGCGAAAGTTAGAAGCGCTTTGTTGCGTGACAGAAGAAGTGAGATGATTAATGATGGACGTGTGTGTCTTTTGTTTTGCTGTCTGGGCGGATGGAGCGACCTCCTCTCTTAACTTGAACTTGGACTTCCAACTGTGCATTTATTTTTGTCTGCTTTCTGGCGGTAAACCGACCGGGCTGCAGCATAGAAGTCAGAGTGCTTCCTGCCACACTGGTTTACCACATTAAAAATGTTTCCAACACACATTTTGATAGAACACAGGTCGTTTGAGGCCCCGTATACCAGACACGATTTGGAACCTGTGCTGTAATATTACCGTGATTAAAACGTGTCTGAACAAACTAACTTCTCCCAGATGCGTATTTCATGGCGGAGCGCATTTCCAACTGTGGCCAGAAAAATGATTATAGGATCTACCTAATTGTCTAAATTATCCTGGGTACATTGCAACGTGCCAATGAAACCCCACACTTGCAGATGCGCATGCGGTCGCGCTTGTAATAGTCTATTTTCTGAATGGTCCGAGATTCAATCTGTTGATGGACAGACAATGAACGCGTGGTGCGTTGCAGTCCATATCTTGATTTAATTGCAGTTCAAAGGGTTCTTTATTTTGAAAACTACGTTGAGTTGCATTGCAAAACGTGACGCGTACAGACCTTCCCTTTTGGTCAAACGTATTGCGTTGAACAACTGAATTACCAGTATAACAAACACACCACATACAACTGCTGAAGCCCGTGTTGTCGTCTGTAAATCCGCTCCGGCCTGACTCATACGGTGGTCCGTCCTCTGGGCGCGGCTCCGCATAGACGGCTTTATTTTGCGGTTAAACCACAGACATCTTCTTCATCTACCTGGTCTGGGTGCGGTTAAACCAGTCAAACTCCGCCTCAATTAGCCACCAACTGTGGTGTAGGTACTCTTTTATATGCTTTACTTTCCACCAGCCTACAACAACTACATGTTAACTATTGTACATTCGCAGTGGTAAATAAAGAAATGGGTTTACCTCACAGGGATTATGTTAGAAACAATCCAGCGTCATGAACGGAAATCTACTGAGAATGTGAGAGCCCTAATCTCGGTTTTCAACGCTTCTTCGTTAATAAATGCTGCACCGTGGGTCTGTGTCAGGTCCGTGTCACATGTATATGAAGGTGTTGCTTTGTGAAGGGGTTACTCCCCCCACAGCTCCGCGTGGACTAAACTTGACACTATTGTGCCCTGTGTTCACTGTGTGTCCTTTCAAGAATAGTCCAAGAGTGTTTCTTAATGACACCATTGTATCTTTGTATTTTCCACTTGAAGTATATACGCGTAGTTTACGTTGATACAAGTCACGTCACACAGGACGAGCATTTCAAAATGGGCTCGTGCGCGTGTGCAAGATCCCACGGCAAATGCGACAAGGACCTCGCGGATCTTGGTGCGAGCTGAAATATATTCTCATGCTAACGGTTGTTTTCTCTCGGTCGTTGTCTCTCTCTTATGTGTTATGTTTGTCTCGTACAAACACTGCACTGCCCGAGTTTGGTTTCTTCTCCACTGCTTGGACTTCCTGCTCACTGGCTGCGGTATTTTTGATCAATGTAAAGTCAGCCTGAATGGGAAAACACCAGATTGAGATTCTGTTTTTGTTTTGTAGCGTAGTTTTCTTGAAGTGGCCTGGTGCGCTCTCCCTCCAGGCCGCTAAACAACTGCCCACTTTCCTGACACGCACTCAGACACACGTGCGCCAATTCATATGCACAGCTGCAGCCTAAAGCGATATCAAATGCTAAAAGTCACCGAGCGTTAACAATTTTGTTGGAAAATGAAGCCTTTACTCAACATACGCAAAATGCATGCACCGCACAGGACGCCGTGAGTCACAGGCGCAATTTACAGTTGAAAGTTTGCGTACACACGGTCCCACTTTTGTCGATTCATTTAGTTCAGTCACTTAATGGATCAAACGTTTATTCCATTGAGTTTGATATCTAAAAATCCTCATTTTAAAGATGCATATGGACTATTGGCCTTTATATCTAAATAGAGTGTGGTTCTGATTCGTTATTTAGGCCACAGTTCAGTGAATTTACCACCTGGTTATAGCTTTGATTATAATGAATTACTTTATCTCAAAGCTAAACCTTAAGCTGGTTGAATACTTGTAGACGTGAATGCAACCTGCATTTAGCGGGCATGTGGCAGACTCACTCTACCTGCATACTCTTGGATTGCCACAACGCCTCTTTTTATCTTTGCAGGGATTTGCAGCATTCTCAAGATCCGTGAGATACTGTTAAGACTGTAATATTATGGCTTTTCGGCGGTTTTTAGTCTATTGATACATGTAAGAGACAAGTAGTGGTCAAACGTGTGGCCGATAGGTTTCCCTCAAATCAAGGCAAATGAAAACTGACAATTGATAATCCCAGATGATAATTTGTCCTTATTTTATTAATATATATATATATATATATATATATATATATTCCATTTGAATTTATTTGGGATCAGCGTACTCTCCGTAGAAAATATAAATTGGCTCAGTAATGTACATGAGAGCAGAGGCTGCAGGTAGGCCACATTGTTATGGGGATGATGCTCTCCCCTCCCCCACAAACATCCGCATCACTCCGAATCTCCCTCCGTCTGACGGAGGCTGTCTGGAAAGACATGATGTCTGCTTCTCCAGATATTTACAGCAGCCACATTGGTTGTCAAGATATTAATAGTCGTTTCAATGAACAATTCCTGAAATAAGTTTAAAAAAAAACACAGTGGAGAAGATTACCTGGTATAATATTTTAGGCTTAAAAAGAAAAAAATATTTTCAAAAGTGGCCAGTATTTGTGGGGACATTTACATGTATTTGTACAGAAGTTCCACTCTCAACTCAACTGTAAAAACCAGCCGCCCTTTTTGGCAAACTGGCATCGCTAAATATCACATTAATCTAACACCATTGAATCTATGATGGCGTCTTTAATGTTGTCTCAATGGTGCATGATTACAGTTTACCTCGCGGTAGTGGATTTGGGTTTATTTTGGCCAATTGAGTGAAATAATCTATACGTCGATACGCGCTGTTATATGTCCTTTCACCCATAATGGTGGTTTACGTTTTTGAAAATGGTAAACACAAATAATCGAACTTCAACGTATTTAACCAATATTATGCAAAGGGTGTACAGTTATTAGTACCATGTTGGTACAGGGGCTAATATTACATTTAAAACAGCCTTGCAATGGCAAAGTCAAATAATTGATGTTGGTCCTTTAAGGATACACCTGTGACATTTGCTAAATGTAAAAATATTAGAAACACGAGTTAGTTGTTAAAGTATGATATTGGATTGATTAATAGTGAATTCTTTTGCAGAAGGGTTAGGGCCATGCTTTGAGATTGGACCGCTGGTGTCTCGGTGCTGTGCACGATTTGTGTGTAAATGCGCCATGTGATAGAATATTTAATGTTAGGCTTATCACCTATATGTTGACAATATCACTGTAATAATTGCCTTACTTATTTTAAAAAGTTAACCATAACGAATGCTTCATTACGAGTAGTGTCGTTGTCACATTAAACATTTTACTTTTTTTTCTTTTTAATTTCAATGATTAATTATGAGAAGAAGACACGTTCTGCCTCACTTTGGAGACTAGTGAATGCAGGCTTGGTGTGTTAATTGTGGTCATTGCATTATAAACTAACTTAATGAAATTATTGTCTTTTTCTTTCTTTTTTTATCTGATATTGTGCAGCCGGTCAGACGAACGCTGCAACATCCGTGTTTCCCACGGGTACACAATATTTACCTGAAGTATTTGTACGTATAGTGTCGAATTTCAGCTGAGAGAAAAAGACAAACGAACTGAACTAAAAAGTAACACGCTCTCATTCACAAACTGAAGAGGACATAATCTCCTGAAGTCTGACGCCTTCATGGAAAAGTTAGTTTGGAACGAGCCGGTTTCCTGCAGCGGAAAAACTGTCAAATTCCTGATCTTTGGAAGAAAAAAAGAGAAACCAACCCCGCGGGTTAATTTGCAGCCCGCTCTTTCTCTCTCTTCACACACAGCAGGTATTTGAGAGTAGGATTCTCTAAATAACAGCTAGTTTGCATGCATACTCTAGTGTGAAGTTCATTCTTCTCTCCGTCTAGACTCTGATTACGACCCTGTTTGTCTGCGTTTTTTTTACCTTGACCTTGGACTTCCGTGCAGCTGCCGTTTGGATGAGCACTTCGTAGTTGTAATTTCCTTGAGACAAAAGAACTCTAGTCTCTGTCCGAGAAAGGACGCGGCTCTGGCTTCCTCAGTACACAGACACTCAATGGTGGCCCGATTATTCCCAAGGCAACTCGGCAGTGAAAAAATGTTGATAAACTATAGGCGCCCTTTGCTTGGGCAGCTTGTAGCTCGCTGTGTGAGTGACTCATGAGCAAGGCATGACAACAAAAAAAACTATTTCATGCACGCGTTTTGGCTCTTTCCGATTGATAATATGTGAACCTCTAAAACACAGTGAAATGTTCAATATTAACCCAGATGTATTTTAAAGAGGAGGAGAAGAATACGCAATATACTTAATAGTTGTGAATAATGAGCCTGCGGTGACTTTCTGGATTTAGAAGGAAGTGTTAGTGAGTTAGCGGTTCTTCAGACAAGAAGGAATCGAGTGAAATAGAGGCTGAAGAGTTCCTGGGGAAAGTAAGACCGCATTTGTGTAATGGCTACTTCAATAAGGTCTGTATACAAAGTCCTCAACGCGGCCTATTGTTGTTTTCCTCGGACCTTCAGCGTCGACCCTCAGGAACGTTACGAGGAGTCGTTCAATAAAGTATTTCCAGTCACATTATCGCTTAAAAATAGTTTAGTTCTAATGGAGATTACTGTGTCAGAACCCAACTTTACCCCACACATATCAACGCTGGATTCGTCGTCTATGTGCCAGAAAGCTGCCAATGAATGTGGTTGACTTCTCTAATTATATCTTTAAAAGAAAGACACAGTAAGCAGCCCCAGAGAGGTAATTTGCGATCTCTTACCTTCACTTCGTCCCGTTTCATTTAATGCCGCCGTGCAATGGCACACATTCAACACAAACTCTGTTTCCTGGTTCTACTACACAAATCAAACACAACCTGCCGATACCAAATGTGTATTGTTTAATCCTGTAGCTAAAGCTATATTTAAGGGTCTAATATCAACCTCTAAAACGTCAAATTAACAGTATATATAATTATTATCCTTGCCGTAATAACCAAGAGTTCCAGATTCTCTCAGCAGGAGGGTGAATTTGATCTGATTGCTCCGTATTTCCTGATGCTTAATACTTTCTAACGATCGTTACTGAATTGACTGCAGACAAGCATTGGCGATTCAATTATTTTAGATATTTTCTATTAAACATAAACGTCAGCCAGAACAAATAGTTTCAACTGAATCATTAAAAGGCCTGGAGAACAAGTAGTATTTTTTAACATTGCATCAAAAATTACTTCATTTTTTATTTCCCCGTGTACATAAATCATATGCTGTCATATTCTCTCGAAGTCCTCGGAAATGGCCACATTTCACAGGTTATTTCCATTTGCCCCAATCTTGAAAGCATCTAAACTCCCCTTTAAGGCTGTGGGTCTCTGGGATTTAAACCAATGGCACGACTCGGTGTTCTGCAGGAAAGACCTGTGACATGTGAGGCGGCGGGTCTTTAAAGGGCTGCTCTGCCCACCTCGCGAGCCCGATCTCGTAGGACTTGTTAGCATATCACGTGCTAGATCCTTAATGAAGTGGACATACGAGGGTCTCGCGTGCGCATGCGCGTTGTGTAAAATGTAGTTGGAAATGAGGTGTCCGTCTTGGAGTAGTCGACTTTTAAAAAGCATCGGCAGCCCCTGATATGACGACTTCGCTGGTTCTGCATCCACGCTGGGCGGACACCTTGATGTACGTTTATGAAAAAAGCCCGAATGAAAACAACCAGAATAAAAGCCAAACAATGGAGGGACTGAGCGGTAATTGCCCTGCGACCCACTGCCGGGACCTGATGTCGCACCCGGCACTGGGACGACATTCTGGCACCATTGCGACCCACCAGGGCTCCGTCTACTCGGATATTTCCTCTGCGGACACCGGCCGGCAGTGTCCGGCTCCTCAATCGTCGTCCAGTGCATCGTTGAGCTACGGTTATCCTTTCGGAAACCCGTATTACGGCTGTCGGTTATCTCATTCGCACAACGTGAACTTGCAGCAGAAGCCTTGCGCCTACCACCCGGCAGAGAAATATGCCGAGCCCAGCACCGCGCTGCCCGCGGAGGAACTGTCTACCAGGGCGAAAGAGTTCGCCTTCTACCCGAGTTTCGCCGGTTCATATCAGGCTGTGCCCGGTTACCTCGACATGTCGGTGGTGCCCAGTATCAGTGGCCACCCGGAACCGAGGCACGACGCCTTGATCCCCATGGAAGGCTACCAGCACTGGGCTCTGTCCAATGGCTGGGATGGGCAGGTGTACTGCTCCAAGGAGCAAACGCAGTCAACTCATCTCTGGAAATCACCTTTTCCAGGTACGTGAAGATTATGTTTGATTTTTTTCCCCCCACCACTGCTTTCTCCAGGATTTAATATATAGTTAAGTGTTTTTCACGCGTTTATTAAATGTGTTATTACATTAAGCAAAGCTATTCCAATATAATGTTTTCTCTTTACCTTTCTTAGATGCTTTTGCTTAGTTTGCACATTTGTTGTGTTATTATGAAAATATGAACTTACAGAGAGGTCCAGGGGAACTACATTTGCTGGATAAACATAACTGTCATGTCTTATGTGAGTTAACATATGTCCTATAGGGGCTCAGCTGGTATGGACAGTCACTCTTCAGCTTGACATTAATCAAATCTTCAGGCTTTTTCCTACATGTGTGCTTAAAATTCTGAATTGTGAGTTCAATGAGCTTTTCAGTTGCATGGTCCTTCACCGGATTAGAGACGGAACACTTGATTTCCACAGTACAGGAAGGAGCACCAGCGCTTAACATTTCCCCCCGTTCGACAATATGGACTATAGCTACTGTGTTTGGGTGGTCCCAATTCATATCAGCGCCCTGGGATGTGTGCCGTCTCCTGCAAGGATTCATTTGGCAAATATTTCCACTGATTCGTTAACATCTTATGATATCTGATAATAGACACAAGGGCTCGGTCAGTATGCAGTTTACAGTGTGTTTACTAGGCTGCTTATTTTACTACGCGGGTTTATTATCGACGTGAAATCGGCTGATATTTTAATTTCGTGGGCACGAAACGACAGGAACGTACTCACATCCCGACTCGGTCTCTCGCACAAAATATTCCTCCTTATATATTGAAAATACAAAAAGAGCAAGCCACGCAAGCACGTGCACGTAGGCAAATGCGCGCGCACACTGAAAACGAACACGAACGCGCTGTCGTTGTCTTTCCGTCCCGCCTCACGGAAATACCATAGATTTACGGTCCAACTAGTTGGTTTTAAAGCGAAGCCCTTTCAGATATTCTCAATGTACTTGTAGCAAATCATTTAACCATTAACTATATCTGGCCTTTTGCGTGAATTAAGGCCATGGTCGTGTGTAGAAATACCCACAGCCCCTAACTGTAGGAGTAAAACGCTTCATGTCTCACAGCTTGCCATATTTGTCCTGTCATATTCTCACTGGCTCTCTTGCACTATTGGCGAAAAATGTATACCTGCGCAAATCAGTGCCGATGTCTTTTTAAAAAGAACACCGTGGGGAACCATTCTCTCATTTTTAGGAGAATTCTGTGAAGTTTGTATAATTAATTCACTCTCGCCTAAATTACGTTCAACACCTGTAACTTTGTGATTGAAACACCTTGACTAACTATCCCTTTAGGTGCCAGATTAGGATTTATATAAATGTCCAAATAATGATTTCTATTTGGGGCTCTGACCGACGTATTGAATTCATTATAACGTGTACGGGAGATGTTAACAAGGTGTGTTTAGCTATAATGAATCAGAAAATTAGGTATCAACTTTCCTGATTCATACTGGAAACTTGCAAAAATGGTAGTGGATGTAACCACGAAGTCAGTATTTATTTACAGAAAAAAGGATGCACCAACACTGTGTTGCGTTTCTACATGTCAGGTGTGGAGACCCCCCACTCCCTCTACACACACACACACACACACACACACACACACACACACACACACACACACACACACACACACACACATACACGTACCCCTCTTAGAACTTTGCACTGTTTGTATCAGAAACAGAACGGTCTTTTCAACTGCAGTTGCTGCTGATTTTTAAGTAAACAGTGCGGGTGTTTTGCGCATATAGTCTAATATTTGCCTGCATTTATTGTCCCTACAGATGTTGTGCCACTGCAGCCTGAGGTAAGCAGTTACCGACGTGGGCGTAAGAAACGTGTCCCTTACACAAAGATCCAGCTGAAGGAGCTGGAGAAAGAGTATGCGGCCAGCAAGTTCATCACCAAAGACAAGAGAAGGCGCATCTCGGCCGGCACCAACCTCTCAGAGCGCCAAGTCACCATCTGGTTCCAAAACCGGCGAGTAAAGGAGAAGAAATTTGTCAGTAAATCCAAAAGCAATCATATGCACACCGCTTGATGAGGTCATCAAGCTCTCTTGAAACTGCGACTCGTGACTTCAAAGGCATGATGCCATGTATTTCGTCGTGCATCTCAAATCATGGCTGAAGAACATCTTGGCATTATTTAACCTCCTTCCTCTACATTGACCGTGCCACCGCATCCCCTGTTTTTCAAGTTGGAGATGATGCTCTAAAAACTGTGAAAATATTGAAAATTCACTTCACATTTGTTTTATGATTGTACATATATAAATATATAATATTTAAAGCCGTATCTGTATTTCAAAGACAAGTATTGCGTCTATGTCTTGTTTTTTTTATTTCTTTTTTTTTTTTCGTTTAAGCCAAACCACAACGGGACTGATTACATTTCAATGACTTAAACAGGCAGCCAATCAAATCCGGAGAGACTTGTTTGATGCCATTTCAGAAAGGTAATGACCACATGGACATCATTTGTGGCATAATGACACGTTGACCTTAAAACTTCTCCAAGAAAAAGCTCACAGAGGACTATCAAGAGGAAGAAAATGTTTTTTCCTTCTGAGTTTTAAAAGCTATCTTCCCGTGTGGGACATGTTCTCTTAAGCCAGGGGTAAAACCAAACAGCTCCTATATGTTGATAATCTGTACAGTGCAATGCGTTTTTATTTAATTCATATTATCTAGTATATATGGCTAAACTGTAAACTGGAATATCCCAAGACCTGTATGTTTTCCTTCGCCAGTGGAGGATTCTGTCTTGCAAATGGAATGATTGTAAACCATTAAAGATCAGTGAGTAATACACATAAATGCCCAGTCGTTTGCTTTTATTTTGGTCTTTGGCAGCATTGGAGCTGATCACGCGCATTGTACGAAGCCTTGTATTTTCTACTCTAGCGTAGTATGTGAACTATATCGTGGTGTTGAATTACGTACTGGTAACGTGTTTCATAAATAAATAATGATTATGAAAATGCTTAAATATTTTCGGAACTTGCAGTATTTCTTTCAGTTTCTACTTGTCGTCCTCATCCGCGGCACGAAGCTCTGACTGCGTCCGTCTCTCCTCAAGTTGATCCCAACGCAGCGAGACATCATTTAATGTTACGTGCCTGATCAAGACTTTTCCTCCATCCTGGAGTATAGTGTTCGTGTCATTAGGAGAAAATACAGTGATTGTTGATGTTTGTTTTGAATCATATACCCAATAAATTGTGATATTTCGAAACAGTTCTGTTCCAGAAAGTAATGGTCTATTAAGACTATTTCTTTCAATTGTGTAAGTTTCGCGGAGGAACGCGCTGTGTGCCAAACGCCAGCACTCAATTCACATTTTTAATCAAATTATTATTCAAAATGTTTTAACCTGTTACTAAATGCAATTTACTAAATGCAAATGCAATTCATAACATACAGGCCGACACATTGAACAGAGATTTATTCACCAGTTTTAGCAGAAATGTACTGGACGACAACCGCACAGTGTGTTCACAACGTTTTCTATTCCACAGGTAAAATGCCAGAGTTCAAAAAAAGTTTCATCCCTGTGACCGTCGGGTGTATTGAACGCTGCAACTATTGCTGATTAGGCTTTTAGTATTCATCATATATATGATATCAAATATATGATGCATACTAAAATCATATATATGAGGAATACATGTGCAAACTAAAACGAGCAAACCCGTTGTGTCTTGCACACTTCCAGCAAATACACTGCAGCATACAGGCTGTATAGTTTGCGACGTCCATAATTCGATTTTTACCTGCAGCAACACACTATTTGACTTTAGCAATGAACTTAAGAATGGGTTCCGTCGGCCATGTTAACTCCATATTTATTATCACGGATAATCATACAAGTACTGATACTTATACAAGTGCTGATGCTACTTTAGTCCGTAGTGGTGGATTGAGTCAATAGTTTTATTTATGGAATATATATTTCTAATTTAGAAATGTTCTGCGTATGAAAGTTTTGCTACGGTGTTATTGAGCGAAAGTAACCAGTCCGCTTCATATATGAGAGTTGATTACTTTTGAAAAGGATTGGTGTGAGTTCAATGTGGCTTTACTTTAAGGTGGATGCTGTGAAGTACTTGAAATGTCCGTGTTGAATGATAGAAACAAACGCGGAATTAGTGACAGACATGTCAAAACTCACAGTCCTTATAGGAGTATTTTGCTGTCCAAATGATTCACTTATTAGCCCTAAATATTTTTTTCTGATGTTTATAATGTTAAATCTATTGCCAAGAACATTATGACACATATCACAGGTTTCTTTTTGTAGTTTCTCAACGGGCAAGTCATAATCAGAGTTTGGGTTTTGCTAATGAGAATCCAAGCCTTCAGAGTTACGGTTTTATATTTGTCTGCGTCCTTCCCGGGTTTTCAGGCCTTGTGGAAAGTTCTGGGTCTCCTGCTTTACCCTTGACCATGACTATGCAGACACTTTGACCTTGACATCACAGCAGATTGTGAATAATAAATAGGGGGCTGGACACCAATGCCGGCGGTTTGTTTGTAGGCAAACAAGGTGTTATATTCTTGTCTAGACAGCCCGGCTTAATGGCGTGCCATAAATACATAAAAAGGGGAAGTGTACCGATGTCCTCTGACCTGCATTTCTGACCATCTGCAGGAGTTTTGTAGTAACTTTTCTCGCCGTGGTCCTCTGTGTTTTGTGGAAGTACTATTATTTTGGCTCATGCGCCACAAATGGTTCCACGCAGTCTTCGCGAGGTGTGTATTATTGACCACGAAGGACAGGTAGGACATTTGACGTCTCACACTAAAACCAGAGGTCCGCAGCAGCCTGCCACACTGTCCACACAGCGAGAGGACAAGACAATACGACGTCGATTAAAGGTACGGATGTATTCTGACTATTATGGCAGTTGGTTTCCGTGGACTTTATGGCTGTTTAGCTCACAATTAATGTGGTGCATTGAACAGTCGAAACTAATTTCCACAGACATGATGGCAAATAATTTGTACTTAATTTGTCAAATGATGGTTTTTCTTCAAGGCAAAGCGTTTAACGAAGTGAAGAGAATACTAGGCCTTCTTTATTACATGTACACATTTTAACTCTTGATATTTAACAAAGTTCTGTTCAAAATGGTATTTTTGTTTGACACATAACATGACTTGTGCCAAACAAAATAGTTTCGCGAAACTTTTATTTGTTTTAGCTGTAATTCAAGCGGCACATTTTTGCACATGAATATTTAATTCCTATGTAAAGTTCATTTCCAAATAAAACATGTCACCCTGGATAAATAAAGACATATCCATATAGCACTATTTAAAACTAGTTTTGTAATAAAATGTGGAAATATCGTCCAATGTGTTTTTTGTACTTGTTGTGAATAATGAAGTAGGCGAAACAAAGCAAGTAGGAACTCACTAAACCTAATTCCTTCAAATAATAATAAAGAAATCAACGAAACCAAAATCTTTAGAATTTCATTCCTCGCGGATTTTACCTTGAAAATATAAAATGTATTTCGAAAAGTTATTTTGTTTGTGTATGTATCCGTGTGTGGAAGTGTCAGTGCTGCATCAGAAAGGGGTCTGATAACCTCTGGTGGTGACCAGAGGAAAATATCAGGAAGTGCTGCAACTGTCTCTGATTTGAGGATACTTGAGTTCAGTTAATCCTTGTTTTATTGCCATGACTCACTTGGCGCAGTGTTGTGTAGCTATGTGCATTTCACAATATTTTTGAAATACGTATTCGACAATTTGTTTAATTATATATTTTGATACATGACGTTTTTCCAACTTTAAATGTACGAGGCCTGCCTGTGTGTATAAATGGTGCAAGGAATAGATAAGTCACATCGGAAGACATGCTATTCCAAATCATTGCATGCTGTTAAGAGTTGCTATTGATTAATTTGACATTCATGTAATCGAGGCCTTGCGTTGTGTTTCGACGGCGTTCGATTATTCGAATATAATAAGAAAAGACAACTGCGATTTTGACTTTTAGTACTTTTTAATATTTAGATCTACTTATTTATTTTCTATGTTGTGTTTATAAAGCTATAATATATGACTATACAAATATATTTATACAACGGATTTGACCGCAGTCTTGTTTGACAGTCACACCGTTTTAAAATAGTATTTTATGCTTTACGCTTAGTGTGAAAGTGTCTCATTTGTGGATCATTAATACACTTTTTGATCATCCTTTATACAGATTGCACGCAAACCACAGACAGACAAACTCACACACATACTTCACGGAAACACATTAATCACGCACCTATAAACACACGGAAACACGACACACACACACACACACACACACACACACACACACACACACACACACACACACACACACACACTAAAGTAGAATATGAGTTCAACCGGTTAAAAATCAAAGTAAAGAACAGGATTGTTGAGCAAGTACAGTTTATATACATTATAACTTGATACTAATTGATTGTCAAGTTAACATATGACGCAACGGATTTGTTATAAATGCTAGTTTGGGATGTTTGATTTGTTTAGGAATGATAAATACTGCACTATTATTAATTTGTTGTTGTTTTTTTAGAGTGAAACAAAATGTAAACAATATCGAGTATTGACATGCTGAAACAAACGTGATGCCATTAGATTACCTCCTATGCTTATTCGTAGAATATTAAAGCGACATGAAATACCGTCTGTTGTAAACCAACGCAAACGATAGCCGAACCTTTCAACCTAAACACTGAGGGTCCTTAAGGCTTCCCTTGGTGGTTTGTTTTCCTTGAAGGAAGCTTTAAAAGTGCAGCTATAGCTGTGGCAACCTGCCTGCAGACAATCAAAGAGAGAAAAGGGAAGAAAGGGCCTTTGTTTGGGCTTATTGCCCTGTCTGGACAGGACCCGCGGATTCCAGGAGGGTCATTTCAATATCGACCAGACAGTGTACTAGACAGTGACCTTGACAGTCCAACGCTCCGTTTACCAGGTTTTTCTTTAACAGCTCATTTTCTTTCCTCCAAATGAGAGCGCGAGGACGCGTGTGACATCAGCGCCAGCTGAGCTAGAGACGCACACAGTTGACGAGCAGTGGTTTGAATGTGAAATTTGGATTCGTGGGAATACTGGATCGGAGGCGTGGAATGACGAGGCGAGGAGGCGCAACACATGGCCTCTTTCTCCGAGGTAAAGTGGCGATTCAAGCCGGTGCGTTGCTCTCTTTCTGTTGTCATAACATGCGATATGAAGTGACACCATGACACCCCGTTGCGCCCACTGACGCGCAAGTTACGACATTTGATTGGTGTTGGTGCTGCATTGCGAGACTCCCTAACTAGATGCAATCATTTGCAATGATTGTCGAGCTAAGTGACCGCAACGGAACGCGAGCTTCCCCAGTTCCACCATTTGATATTAGCGTTTCTATTTAAGGCTGGAGCGAGGCCTGCTGCATTTGGGTTAGATAGCTATCGGATATCGGCTGACTCGCAAATCGTTCCCGAACTGAATGAATGCTCTCACATAACACTTCACTGGCATATTTGTAACACAACGAGGGCCAGTCAACACGCATGTGCAAGCAGCAGCATAGACCCTCTCACTTTTTGAAATACCACACCCATTATAATACATATGAATTCATTAGATCAGTTTGTTTATTTTTTTATTATTATTTAGAGTATTATTAATCATCAGTGTGTTAAGGCAAAGGGTGGGTGTTGTTTTTTCTAATCTGCAGAGCATCTTGGAATACCTTCATTTATTATTTGTGTGCTACAGGTCCTCTCTTTATGCCACATTCTAAACAATTGTTTATTCTATTTTGTTGATTAAAATGTCCATTCATTTCATTTAAATAGAGAATTTGAGTTCAAAATCAAGTTCAACCCACTGTGCCTCGTGAACTTGAGTGAATTGACGGCATTACATTACAATACAATTACAATTGCGTGCTATGTGTTATATTTAGGATAAGAAAATTGTTGTCCTCGACTATTTTGCCATAATTGCCATAATTGAGACATAAAAACTCCCCACTGCTCAGTTATGAAAACATTTGACATATTGATTGTGTCTTCCTTAATGTATAGGAAGGGTGGTGGTAAATTGTGAATTTATAAAGGGAAAGTCGGATTTGCAAAATTATTCATAGCTGTGAACGCTAAGAAATTGCGTTATTTTTTATTTCAGTTGACGAGAAGTCTGTAGACCTTGGAGAGGAATGCAAAAACAGGCAAAACGTTGAAATGTAAAAATAACTTAGGAATTCAAACCCAAGGCCATGCAAAGATTAAAGCAATGTCAGTCACGAGCATGCCTTTGGGGCTGATGGTCGGGGAGCTCGATGACCAAAGCCCACATTAGAAATGAAGGCTGTATACATAAATAATTTGCACATGATGGGGAAGTTTTTCTGCAGAAAACGTGTGCTGGGAACTTTTGTGTTGATAAAAGAGGCATTTTGTGTCAGAACGGAGCTGTATATTCTATATTTGTTCTGTTTTGCCAGAGCTGCATCTACAAATCAACTAATTAGCCTCGATATAAAGCAGAGAAACTCTGCTGATTGTATCAGTTGAGTGCCCTCGGATATCTTGTAAAGTTCATATAAAATAATTGTGAGCAGTATAACAATCCCACAGAGTTTGGCTGTGAACGTTTATTGGAGGTATCTGTTAAAGTTGTTCATGTGAGGTGTACTAGGGGATATTATGTGAAATATATCCTCTTAAAGTAACCTTGTAGAATATCGTTCTCTTTTACACAGCCAATGGCTTCAACCTGCTGACCCCGTTACTGTATGTGAGTAGAGTGGGGCAATGAGCATCAGTCTTTTCTTAAAATAAGCTTGTAAAATTGGGACATCACAGCTTTATATGACATGGAATTCATCCATAATTTGCTAGAAAACAAGAGGTCATATGCACCTTCTTATTCCAGAAAAATAGTTTTCATAAGAAATGGTATTTAAAAACGTTTGCCAGCTTATAAAGATATTAACATAGCCCATGCGGTTCCATGAGTGTAAAGGGAGAAGCTTCCTGGGCTCCCTTTGGGACTCCTCACGTGACTCAAGTGAAGAAACAATTCTGCATTTTTAATAAAATGTTTTTATTGTTTTTTTTAAAAGCATATAAACCTCTTTAATACAGAAGGTAATTTTTTGTTTTGTTTGAGATACAACGAGTGGGTGGTACTATGTGTAGCAGAAGTTAGCCTGGACACGTGGTTTGAGGGAGACCAATCAGGGGCCCCTCCAGGTTTAACTATGTTAAATGTCAGATTGCAATAAACTAGAAGCTGTTGGTCGGGCCCGTGGAAATGGGCGAGCATAATCTCCTTAATCCAGGGTTTGTGGGACCTTTGGTAAACATCCACACAGGAGACACATTTTACTTTCCGAATTTTAGAGCTTCAGGGGGACAACTGGCGGGGCTACCGCCGCTCTCCTACCCGAGAAGGGACAACGTTTGCTCCCTTCCGTGGAACCCTTCGGAGCCGTGCAATGGATACTCTCAACCCTACTTTAGCAGCCCCGTGTCTATTAACCCGCCCTTCAATCGCTCGTGTGAAGTTAGCAGACCTGAAGAGGGAAAATGTTATTATAGCAACGGGAACAGGGAGACCTGTTCTGGCGGCGGCAGCAGCCTCAAACGAGAGGACAGGGCGAGAGACACATCATCATTGACATCCGAGCACGGGATGCACAGTGGAATTGGCAGCACAGCAGTCTTCGCCAAATATGATTATGGGACCGAACAGCTCACGCAAGACCCGCCGTCCTGTCAATCTATGGAGTCCGACTCCAGCTCCTCTCTGCTCAACGAAGGCGGCAAGCCTCCATCCAGCGACACGCAGACCATCGTGTCACCGGGAAGCCATTCAAGCAACATAGCCATAGGCGGAGGTGGGTGTTTTTTATATTATTATATTCAAGTCAACATCAAGTATTTGACAGGCACGTTGAAATGATGTGTTGGGGACTTGCACGCAGCGTGAGCTCCCTGGCATTACTCGTTGGTTAGAGCTCGTAGTCTTGACGCACACAGCGTGCAGCCTTTGGATTAGCCTGCAGGGTCGTTGCGTGGTGCGCAAACGCCGCTAGGGGTTGCCCTAAAATGCCTCACGCGCCATGTGGTTGTGTACAGTTACAGATAAACTCACCAAGCGATACTCCCCACCGGTTCGGGAACGAATGACGCCAAAAGTGCGATCAAGGCAGAGCAATGGTCGTTGTATTGTTACAAGCTGCATAGGCCGAAACCAATTGATGTGGTGATTTAGAGAGGACGGCGCTTTGGGTGACTGCATTCAATAGAGAGTTTTCTTTTTAATGACTCGTAAACTGAATTAATATATGTCGCTGTGTACTCAAGAGTCATTTAATATGCTCTGAAACTCGCAAATAAGTAGGGGTATTTTCAAGCACGGCTTAATTATCACGTTAATGCTGCTTTAACTGCAACAATAAAACTTACCGTGACACCAGCCGCTGCAAACTGGTAGTCTCGAGAGGCTTGACAAATACAATATGAACACGCACGATCCAAAATTGCTCAAAATTGTGCAGGTTCTGCTTGTGGTTGTGAAATTGGGTTTGAAATCAGATGTGTTCCGGCAAGACAAAAACCAATTCAGTTTGTGTGTGTGTGTGTGTGTGTGTGTGTGTGTGTGTGTGTGTGTGTGTGTGTGTGTGTGTGTGTGTGTGTGTGTGTGTGTGTGCAGGAAGTGAAAGATTAAGGTCGTCAGCTCTCTGAATCTTAACATTTAAAATAAACTGCACAAGAGCGAAATCCTCTATGACTTAAACGCGATGTTATTTCCGCAGCGGGGGTCAACTTTAGAAATGTCTTTATTATAGTGTATTTTTGTGATTGCTTTTCAGCTTACTGCTCAAATGAATATACAATTAATTTGCCTCATGCATGAGGCAATCTCCCAAGCTCCCCTTGAACAAGTGATGCCCTATGGGCTCCTCGTAACCTTGGAGGTGACCGTGATTTTGCAACTGTGGTGTCTAATCCCTTGTTGCCCCCTCCTCCTCCCCCGTCTCCCTCCCCCCCCCCCGTCTCCTCCAGGTGCCCCGTGGTACCCGATGCACACTCGCACCAGAAAGAAGCGTAAACCGTATTCCAAACTTCAACTGGCTGAGCTAGAAGGTGAATTCATGCTGAATGAGTTCATCACCAGGCAGCGGCGGAGGGAGCTCTCCGACCGGCTGAACCTCAGCGACCAACAGGTGAAGATCTGGTTCCAGAACCGCAGGATGAAGAAGAAGAGACTCATGCTGAGGGAGCAAGCCTTGGCCTACTTTTAGAGATGCGGAAAAAGGTGAATGATTGGCAGAAAAAAGCCAATCCCTCTACGCTCCCGTTGGTGTCGTTTCGATGCATGCACTCATCCATACGTCGTTTGGATCGCAGGCGATTGTTACAACACGTTGTGATATTATTTTTGTGTCTCTTAGGCGCGGGCCACACAAACCCAAAACAAGTAACCACCTGTGATTCAGACAGATAGTCAGTGAGGCTGCCTCTATGTTTGGTATAATCGCATAAAAAGCGGTGAAGATACATTTTTCTCCTCTGTTCCTTTTCTATGTTTGTCTTCAGCGAGATAACTCAGTTTGCGATGAAACATAATGACATCGTCATTTTTATCCCACATTTAGTCAGGGGAAATATGGAAAAATAAATTGGTAGAAAGAAAGAAAAGACTCAATACACGGTCTCATCCGTAATTTCTCTTTTGCGTCATGAACAGAATATTTCCACAGCTATTTGTTGGGTAAGAGTACAGCATCCTCTTTATCTCCTTTACATAGCTTTGCCTTTCTGGGACGTTCACGGTCACAGACAGGAAGTCTGGCCGCCTGCATGAGGAGGGGGCAATTGTAACCCACATTGCTGTCCTAATGACTTTTCATTGGGAAAAAAAAAACGGATTGCAGTGACTTCGTTCATGCGCTAAGACGTTTACGGTATTTCTTGTCGCATCTCTACTTGTATTACATTTAAACGTCTTATGGAAATCTGCGCAGAATACTGCATGGGTCGCATTTCTTAAATTGAGTTTAATCATCGTTTGAATATGAGTTTAAGCTGCTATTAACGTCCAGAATGTGCCGTAAATTCTCCTGAATCTGTCATGGAAATACTCGCAATTACATGTAAGATTTTAGGTCAACTTGGTTAAACAAGGGAACTGCTTAAAGTTACATCATGGGGGGCGGCAGGGTACGTTTTAGGCCTGGGAAAAAAAAGTAAAAGTAAACTAGGGAAGTTACTATGATTGCGCTCCCTTAATGCGGGAGAATACAGTGCAACATCGGTCATGCAAAACGAGTAAGCTATAGAAGTGAAATGTATTTACAGCATGTTATTGATGTGAAATAGCTAAAAGTGTTTTTCTGCGGGCCACTTCCTCTGTAGGTGACTTTTTTTAATACATGTTTTTCTGAACAAATCAAAAGTAAACACGACCTTGAACATTTTCACACAAACGTCTGCAAAGAATGTATTATCATTGATATTATTTTTTAATATTAGACTAGGATGGAAACTGAGGGCTTATTACCCAAATGTACTTGCTCTTTGCAATGTGCTCAATGTTGTCCCTCCCCATGCCTTGTACTGTATAACTTTGTAAAATGACATTTTCATATATTACCTTTTGCATCCTGTTTGAGGATCCCATATCGCTATGTAATAGTGCGTTATGTTATTGATCGTCTTGTACTATATCGCATTCCATATAGCCTCTTCGTGGTTAAAAGGGTCCGAAATTTAGGCCTATTATATCATACTGCCAAAAATTGATCTAAGAAGTGGTATGCAACACGTTTTACCGCACATGCATTTAAATAAACCATGTTTCAGTGTGATAGTTGTTTGTCATTGTTCTCTAAATTCGTCCCTCATTGCATTCCCTTCTTTGCCCTCGTAAGGATTGCTACGTTGTCTTGTAAAAGTAATAATGATATGAATGTATATGCTTACGGTCTTCAATAAACGTACTATTGAAACGTATATTGGTGTAACTTCACTTTGTCACCATGTTGCCTGATTGAATGTTCTGCTTTAAACTCTTTTCTGAGTGTTGACTGGTAGGATTATTGCAGCAAGCTGAACGACGTTATGAAGTATTTGAGAGGGTGTTTTGTGGCACGCGGCTGTGCTCGCTGTGAACTAATCAACGGGAGCCCACACAGGTGTGCTGCTCGGATTCAGGGGATAAAACCTTTCGATGCAAAATGGCCGCCAGGTGAATGCAGAATTCTAAAAAATTGAATATTTCATAGTTTATTAATACAACAACTGCATTCGTTTTAGGTAAAAGCCTTGAAGTTAGTCTAATCACTACCACTGGTATACGAGCCTATAACGGCGCGTCTAAACACGCTGTAGGTCTGTAAAGCAGTAACAAGGTTGCACCCCAGTGCTCTATAGTGAAGCCTCTTGAACCGCCTGTATCTTCTGGTTTGCATTAGGATTTTGATGGTTATTATGTCAAATCTTTAGACGAATCAGAAGTGCTCTCACAAATGTATGTTGAACGGACATTTAAAATAGTCAAAGCACTCCACGGCAACGAAGCGCAACGCAATGCAGAGTCGAGCATTGCTTTGTGTCACTGCCAGGAGGGAGTGCGTCTGTGTTGTGTTGTCTCAATGTTGAGATCACATGTTGCCTCCGCAGTGAGCTGCAAACGGCCGCTCCTGCAACCAGATCACTGAGTTAATCCGTCCGTGACCACAACAGGAAAACACACATCTATAATGACGTCAGCTAATTAAATAACACTGCCCTGTTGGTGCGGTATAACTTGAAGTTTATCAATCACGAATGTGTCTCGGGACCTGGTTTTGTGTCACTGTACCGCTCATCACGCCGACCGAAGCTGGTGACATTTTGCCTACATTGCTTCGAACCATCGCCCTCCACAAATGAGTAACACACACACACATCTTATGCATTCATCATGATGTTGCATCATTTAGCCTTGTGTAGCGTTATATAAATAATGAATATACTGCAATCATCCATGAGAAGAACGGGCCTGGATTCACTGCAATCCGATGATGCCATGCGTTAGTTTGCAGGTATGATAAAGAGAGATAGTTATACATTGCTGTTTCATCTGTAAATACGATTTGTAATATGTGTCCAGTGAAAACGAGAATATAGATATATCAAATATGGCATCCGCTAGTTTTATGCATTGGAGAAAATCCTATGTAGACTTACGAGTCATATCAAATTAATGAGCGTCCAGAATTTGAACATGGATATCAGAGTAAATACTAGATCCATTATTCCCTCATTGTTATAAGACAAAAAAATGTTCTGACATGTACGTTTTGCGACAATATTCATATTCGTTTTTAAAAGAATACACCGTTTTGAAGTGGTGCAGGTTGATGCAAGTATTTGCGATCATGATAATCTCCAAACAAATAATAATGCAATTGTGTGAATTGAAATTGATCATTCATCATTCATAACTACACCATTTTTTTAGCTAATCAGACGTCGTGCTGAAAGGAGATGTACTAATAAAGCATAAAGTCTTATGTTTGTGTGTTGCTTTGTTAAATAGGTTCGAGAAGAATAATGGATGAAAAATGCACCATGACGCTCCTGAGCGTCCTGTTCTTCAGAGATTATTTATAAAAAGAAATCTTCAAAGTCAGTGATGTCACGAATGATTTGGGTAACATGGTCTGCATTGAAAGTTAAACACCGGCAATTCTAATAACTTGATATTATGTAAATATTTAAATTCATACCGTAACTGATCCTTTGGAAAATAGAGGAGATACATTTTCCAGGATCCATTATTTCTATTTAACGCCATGTGTGTCAACTTCAATTCAAAACAGCGAGCATATTAGTTCATACAAATTGTGTTAGCGCCCAAACCACATGCAGCACGGAACACAGCGTGATTCGTGTTGGCAACCGGATGAAATGAGGCAAACTGTTGTTTGTGCGTTTACAGGCTAGTTAAGGGGTTCCTGTGTAAAACGGTGGGATTATTCGGAGGGCATCGTGGCAGGATGGGGCTGAGCACTGCCGGGCGGATGTCTGGACACATAATACGCTTTTACCTTGAACTTCCATCTGTTGGGTTACGTTGTTTGTGTGTCCAATTTATTTAAACGCTCCTCTTCTTTATTTTGCTTTGCCTTATTATTAACAATGCTTTTTTTGTTGGGAACCTTCAGAAGAGCTTTCACGTCAAAGAAACCATTTCACAGCGGCCACGCATGCGTCTTTACCTGCAACGGTTTCTCTTAGGTAAACAACATCCCCGTGTTGTCTCCAACATTTCTTTTCACTTCTTCAACATTTCGGTGTAAAACCGGAATTTGGGGGGGAATTCAAACCAAACCTTACAAAAATAACCTTGCGTTTAAACTCGTTGTATTTATATTATTAAACAGTACACAATCTTAGTTGGGTTTGCATCATTTTACAATAGGTCCACTTGGCACTTTTGACTTTGAGACGGGGCTAAATCTGTTTATGGTGGCCTGTCTCCGTGTCTCAAAGGTCAGTGAGCTTCACAGTGCCCTTCGCAGAGAACTTGTGTGGCATGTGGTCTACGTCCCCCGCCACCCCTCTGCCGTTTATGGTACAGAGCTGGCTGGAGAAATAGAAAGCAATGTTATTCCTGCTAAAGTGTGCATGTGTGCGTGGACGTGCACGAGAGCGCGAGTGGTATTAACGTGATATAAAAATGACACCATAAACTGAATGCTTAACGTGAAAGATACACGTTGTTTCTCTCCTGTCAGAACGATTATAGACTGTTTTTGACGTTATTTTAAATGAGTTCTCTGCTGCATTTGTAATTTTTCTGAAATGTCTTAAAGCGTTTGAATGGCAGCACCCGTCGAACAAACCCATAGTGCGTGTGTTCGTGTTCGTTGCCGCATTGCAAGAGCCGGATAGGCCAGTTGAGCCGGATGGACCGAAGCCCCTATGAGTGGATTTACATTGAGGTCTCGATAGCGAATCACTAAGGCTTCATTTAATTGTTCTTCATTTAATTCTTCTTGTTTATCTTAATGTGGAATCATTGCAATTTTGCATTTTGCCTTTTTTAAAACATGTTGCAACGAAAGAATGTGTGGTATTCGGAGTCCTTATTTTCTCCTAAATATTTACACACTATAGTGTTGACTCGCAAATGTCTGAAGGCCTTTTTTAATGCCCTGAGTTGTCGTATCACTTCTTTGCTGCCCTTAGGACCTTCTTCTTCATTGTTTTTTCCTCTCCAGGGCGTCGGTGAAGGTCAAGTATGCCTCACAGAGCTGCTTGAAGCTTTTCCAATTTAATGCAAGAAAGAAATTCTATGTCACTTTTTTAAGTTTGTTGAAATCCATTTCATTGAATTCATTTTCTTAACAACACTCATATTTGTCTGCAGTTGATTGAAGGTCTAGCTCTGAAGGGAAGCCTGAAAAACCTGCTGCTCAGACTGCAAAGCAAAGTGCTCCAGCAGACATTTCAACGATATCTGAGTTTATGGTGGAAAGCTCGTGTCTTCTATTTTGGGTTCACATACTAAACCACGTCCGTGCAAGGCCATTGCAGAATAAAATGAGGCATTTTGACCCCTAAAAGGATCTAACGGTGCGCGCTTTGCCTCAAAATAAATACAAACAGGTTGATTTTGTATTGCTGGCAAATAACTGCAAAGACTCTCCCCCTGCGTGCCTAATATGTGACACTGAATTCCACCTTGGTTATAGGACAAGATTCGAAAAAATAATGAAAACCAGGCTATCAAGTACAACACAAACGTCATTGATGTACATATATTAGTAATATCAAGATTGGTTATTCATTCGCCACAGTTATCAATGTAAGTAAATAACCTGTAAGTCTAGAATTTCCCAAATAGAACCGCTGCGTAATGGTTGGCCGTCGGTGCGTAATCGCGTGCCTTCTTCCGCGGTAATCTCCAAAACTGGGGAAAAAACATTTAATTAGGATGTTTTCGAAATAGCATCCCTCTTTTTTAATAGATGTCTACAATACGAAGCGACCCTAAGAATATCTCTTTTAATATATCGCCATGTGACAAGCCGTAGCCTCAAGTGCATTTGCTTATAAATGGTCTTTTATAAGCGAAGAGCCCCTCCAGCAGAATATCGGGCACAAGCTTCTGGGGATTTTTAAAACTTATTTCAAATTATTTCAAAGACCGACACAATTCTTTATTTATTCTCCTTGACTTCCAGGTTCATCTAAATACTCACAATAACACATAGGAGCTCGAGCCCGAAAGTCACTATCGGCCAATTTTCTTGAGATGTGAAATCATTTAATACTTCTAATAAAAAAGTTAACACATTGTTGTGAAAGCTTTATGTGCCAGTTGGAAGAGAAATACTCTCTGGAGATTGCTCTGAATGCAACAGCAACACGCATCCTTATCTCGTAAGCTATTGTTGCCACCACAAACGCGTCACGCGAGGTGCATTCACGGAGACCTCAGTAAAAAAAAAAAGGCTCTTTAGTGTTGCTTGAAACAGTTCGCAGCTCATATAGACAAGTTTAACTGGCCGACTTACATCCAATTAAACGTATCTAAGCCATGAGGGGACAGTGATATGATTACACAGGCTTCCCACATTTAGCCTCAACTTCAACTAACTGCAGCAGCGTCCTGGTGAACTGCGCCCATTGTGCGTGTGTTGTGTCACACGGCAGAGCCAAAACACTGCAAAACTTATGAGCACCATCGTTTAACTGAGAACCCTTCTTAGCATAAGTGTCCCAACTGAGTTCACCATTGCAATTATAGTGCTATGTATAGCTTGAACTATACGCAGTTGTAAAATCAGCGCTGCAACAGTGATATCAGAACGGAGAATGACAACTGTTCACAATGACCTCTCGTTGGGGCTCTCATTTGACATTTTGACCATAACTTTCAGTGGTTTGGACCCATGTTACTATATTTTTTTGGCTTATGGATTTGATGTCAACACTTGTACGTGCTAACTTTCCACACT